AGGTGTCGGTGCCAAACAGCTGCATTAAATGTCATTTGCCAAGCAGTTTCCTATGGCATTCCCTCTGCACTTGCACTGCTGTTTGGAATGCTCCTTCTTAGGAGTTGGGATAATACTGCCTGGGGTTTTTCCACCTTTAGTTGGTGGAATCTCCCCAGATGCACCAATGAGGAGGAACACTTTGCAGTGAACTCATACAAATCATAAGAGAGGGAATAACCCTGCACAGGAGATTGTGGTGAGAGCAGGGTGTTGGTGTGTGACCCCAGCTCTGTGCCAGGCCAGAACTGTCCCACTGCCCTGGAACCTCCACGAGGTAAAATACCTAACTCCTTGTGTCACAGCACAACAGCCCAGAATTGTAGTCACCATACAGAAACAGCCCAGCAAATCCTGTTAAATCCCCCAGGGTAAATGTTGCTTTAATGAGGATGTTGCTCAAAAGAAGAAAGTCAACCCCCTTTGAAATCAATTCAGATCATCCCATTATTTGGCACAAGCTTCAGGTTTTTGGCAGTGGGGACCTTTTCATTACATTTTGCCCCATACTGCTTTAGCTTGGGGTTTCTCTTCCTCAAAAAATATTCTTCCCACAGTCAGTTCCAAGGGTGCAATAGGCAGCTGATGGTATGAAACCTGTGGTGAGCAATTAAGCAAATAAATGGCAGGATTGGAAGGCAAGAGCTGAATTTTTTTATATATATTATTCCTATTTATGCTGGGCCAGGGTTTTTTTTCATAGGAAATACCCCATAGTTTGTGTGTAGGCACATCCATCTGTTTATTCTGGTGCTTGATAACCCTTATCCCTTCTCCATGGGATATCAGTCAGGTGGGAAAACCTAAGGAGAATGCACATTCCCAACTTCCTGCACAAACTGCAGTTGCAGCTTTTCAGTTGTTTCCCAACTCTTTGTCAGTAAACCTTCCCTTCTTTTATAAACTGCTCCTTCTTGATTTGTCATCCAGTATTGTTTGCTGTAAAAGAGATAATCAAAGCTTAAACCCCTCGTTGGTGTGTGGGGGCTGCTGGTTCAACAGCAACTCAATTTGTGTGGCTGCCATTGCTTAGAATCCCAGACTGGTTTGGACTGGAAGGGACCTTACAGCTCATCCAGTCCCACCCTCTGCCATGGGCAGGGACACCTTCCACCAGCCCTAGGTTGCTCCAAGCCTTGTCCTGCCTGGCCTTGGGCACTTCCAGGGATGGGGCAGCCACAGCTTCTCTGGGCAACCTGTGCCAGGGCCTTCCCACTGTCCCAGGGAAGAATTCCTTCCCAATATCCCATCTATCCCTGCCCTCTGGCAGTGGGAATCCATTCCCCCTTGTCCTGTCACTCCATCCCTTGTCCAAAGTCCCTCTCCAGCTCTCTTGGAGCCCCTTTAGGCATTGGGAGGGGCTGTGAGGTCTCCCTGAAGCCTTCTCTTCTCCAGGCTGAGCACCCCCAGCTCTCCCAGAGCAGAGGGGCTCCAGCCCTGGAGCATCTCCATGGCCTCCTCTGGACTCCCTTCAGCAGCTCCACATCCTTCTGATGTTGGGACCCCCATGGCTGGAGGCAGCTCTGCAGGGAGGGTCTCACCTGAGGGGGCAGAGGGGCAGAATTCCCCCTCCACTGCTGTGGGATCAGCCCAGGGCACGGGGGGTTTCTGGGTCCAAGCACACACAGCTGGGGTGTGTTGAGCTTCTCATCCAGCAACACCCCCAAGTCCTTCCCCTCAGGGCTGCTCTCAGTCCCTTCTCCGCCCAGCCTGGTTGTAAAGCAGCCACTTGATGGTTCTTACTTGCTCCTCAAGAGGCTTTACATAATTCTTCTTGTTCTGCCCACATTCACGGTTTCACTACAAGGCTCTTTCCCTCTGGCGTTAGTCACTCCCTCATTAAGCCACCCTCAGTGCCTATAACCTGAGCTTTGCAGCTGAATTTTTGTCAGGAAGGGCTCAGCAATAAAGCCCTAAGTGTACTCAGTGGTCTGCCCTGATTGATTTTACTCTGCCTCTGATCTGAGCGTCTGAAGGAGCCGCGCTGGGTGGAATATGGGATGCAGGAGCATCACCTTTTATGGGCCGTGTGTTTTCACCGAGTCACTGGGTAGTAATGCTTGAGTGGAAAAAGCAGCAGTTCCCAAATTGCCATCTCTCTTAACGAGCCTCCACACGGAGCAGTGATTACCATGGCAGCAGATGCACCGAGTCTGGGTAGGGTGGTGTGGAAATGTATCTGTAGAATGCAAAGCAAATCTTAAAGGAAAAAGAAAGGCTAATGTGCAAAAAATGTGAGGGGCAGAGCTGCAAGTGCTCAGCACACAAACCACGACAGAAGGGTTGGGTATTAATGAAGAAGTGATCATAGAGAAGCCCAGAATGGTTTGGGTTGGAAAAGGGACCTTAAAGTTCATCTCATTCCACTCCCTACCATGAACAGGGACACCTTCCACTATCCCAGGTTGCTCCAACCTGGCCTTGGACACTTCCAGGGATGGGACAGGCACAGCTTCTCTGGGCAACCCGTGCCAGGGCCTTACCACACTCACAGGGCAGGATTTCTTCACGATATTCAATCTAAATTTCTCCTCTTTTAGCTTAAAACTGTCCCCCCACTTTTCCTGTCTCTTGCCCATGTAAAAAGTCGATGTCCTAGAGTGCTGAGAGGTCTCTAGAAAGGCCTGGGTGGATTATGGCCTTCCTAGAGTTTGGAATGTAAATGTGCCAGACAGTCAGCTTTTGCTCCCTGGTATTTCTGCAACAGGTTCCATCCTGTTTCAGATATTCCTGATCACAGGTTTATTCTCACATGGGGTTTTCCTCTGTGAATCATTTAACCTGCTGTGCTGCTGCTGCAAGTGCGTTAGGGAATAAAAAGTGTTATGAAAATATTTCTCCAGGGAACTTTATCTTCCTGGTTTCCATTTAGTGGCTTGGACTCGTCTGGTTGTGATAAAAGTGATGCTGCATAAATTGAAACAGAGTCAAATAAATTGTCTCATGACACTTTCTGTCTAGTTTCTGGATTGCTGACTAGTTACAGTTTGTGAAAATGATTCCCTCCTCTCCCAGCAGCCAACAAAAAATGTGGGGATACTAAAACTTGAACTTTAAGGCAGTTAACCTTAGTTAATTGTGTTCTCCAGCATCCTGCTTTGTTTATCCCTGGTTGTTCCTCAAGCACCGTGTTCTCGGATGAGTATCAGGATGAAATCCTTCTGCATTCTGTTTGTTCTCGGGCTTTTTTTGAGTCTTCCTCCGTAAATGTCCATATCTGGAAGCGCATCGGGAACTTCTGCTCGTTCTCAGGGCACCACCCGTGAGATGTTCCCTGCTGTGACTCAGTAGCCAGAACGATGCTCCTGCATTTGGCTGTATAAACAAGATGGGTCAGGGCACGTGCTGTGACCCGTGGGGTGAGCGCCTTCTGTCCCTGCGGCTGAACTTCCTCCAGCTCTCCTCGCTCCCAAGCAGCAGAACTGATCCGAGCCAAAGCTGGAGCAGCGAGTCTGTTAACTGTTTAAGGCTCTGAGTGGTCGTGGATGATTTGGAAAGGACCTGATGTAACGCTACAGCCTCATTTAAAATGCCTCTCTGACCCTCAGCTGCCTGGTCAGTCAGTGGTGGTGCCTTCGGAGGAGCTGGTTAAGCAGCCGGAGGGCAATCCCTTGGGACAGATCATCCTTGAAACCCCTGCAGGGCAGAGGGGTCAGAAGGTCAGGGAACAACTTGAGGTTGCACCAGACCAGGGAATCAGTCGGGACTCTAAAGGGGGAGAAGGGAGGAGGAGAAAGAAGATACCTGTAATTTGGGTCAGCTCGTGGTACAGCCACAAAACCAGGGACGCAGAAACGGGGAGGTGCTGCTGGATGGGGATGAGCGGCCACGGAAGTGATGGGGAGAGTGGGTGGAACCGCTCTGGGCAGCAAACCACTCCATCCTGCTGAGCTGGAAACCACTGTCTGCTTCCCTGGCAGGAGCCCATCAGTTTGTTTATCATAAAATGAACACAAACCCATCAAAAACAGGGCTAGAAGACACACAAGAGCCCAGTCCATCCATTTCCCTGTACACTGGCAGCTCCACCTGTGCCATTCCTGGGAGATGGTGCCTAGAATCAATGGAAGCATGGAGCCAATAAGGTTGGAAAAGCCTTCTAAAATCATTGAGTCCAGCCATTAACCCAGCACTGCTGGATGGGAGTCAGTCTCTTCTTCTGGTGACAGGTATTTAAATCCCTGATGAAACACCTGAGAACATCCCACCAGAGTGTTTGCAGGGCGGGGAAGGGGTTCCTGCAGACATGTGGCATTCTCATCTGGAAGAAATTTAGGGGCAGAAATCTCCTCTCGTGTCAGTTGGCCATTCAGTTTTTATTTCCTCATGTCTGGAGAGTTTTGTCTAAGATCACGTCGCTTTGCAAAATTAAATTTCTCACCAATAAAATTTGATCCCTTAGAAAAGAAGGAAAAAAAAAAATAAGAGCAACAAACCCTGGGTTTCAGCATTTTGGCCTTTCCTAAATTAAAATCCGATCCAAGCCTGAAGTTTTACGTGGCAAGTTTCATCCCCAGGGGACAGTGGGAATAAACTGCAGCTGCTGGAAAAGCCCGTGGGCCGTGGGAGGGGTTTGGGGCACCAAGGCACAGGCTGGCCATGGCACAAATGGCACAGACCAGCATCCAACTCAGCGTGTTTGGAATGGCAGGAGATGTGGCCCTCGGTCCCTCACAGCCCTGGGTGTTTGTTTCTGAATAAATCTGTGCTAGTCGTGCTGAAAGCGCTGGGATCTGCGGCAGCAGCTGCCAGAACCACTGTTCCATCTTGGAGAAGCTTTTAATGTTATGCTTCAGTAACAGCAGTTTTTTCTTAAGCAAAGTTTATTGATTTATAGTTCAAGAAAACATATTTTGCATCAGGCTTTGGGGAGTTGGAGGTTACGTGGAGGTGGTTTGGCTGCGCTGGATTATTAATCATATCCACAGGATTTTGGAATCCTTGCATTTGCACGATTGCAGGCTCGAGCTGGAAGCAGCACATTCATCACGCCGGTGGAGCTGAGGGGATGCTGCACAAACCACGGCTCTCAGGTCAGAGGAGCAGCTTTCTGAAGGAGGCAACAACCTGGAAATAATTCTCAAAAGCAGAGTTCAGCCAGACCTTCAAATTATTCTGCACCCACTAGAAAACCAAACTTGACCCCAGCCATCCCTGACTGTTGTGACAAATGCAGCTGGAGGGGAACGCCAGCCTGACTTGTACCCACTTGGAATGGTCCCAGGTGTCCCAGACAGCCTTTCTCCTGGCTTTTCCTCCTCCCAGCTCAGCTCTGGCTGTGCCAGCTCCATCAGGATTCCTGCCCTCAGCAGTGCTCTGCTCTGGTACAGCCTCACCTCGAGTCCTGGGGGCAGTTTTGGGCACCTCAGTGTGAGAGGGATCTGAAGCTATTGGAACTATCTGAAGCTGTTCCTCATGAGGGGGAGCAGGGAGAAAGCACCAATCTCTGCTCTCTGTGAGCAGTGACAGGACCTGAGGGAATGGCTGGAGCTGTGACAGGGGAGGTTTAGGCTGGATGTCAGGAAAAGGTTCTTCCCCCAGAGGGTGGCTGGCACTGAACAGGCTCCCCAGGGCAGTGGGCACGACCCTAAACCTACCAGGGAGCTCAAGGGGTGTTTGGACAACGCTCTCAGGCACATGGTGGGATTTTTAGGGTGTCTGTGAAGGGCCAGGAGTTGGACTCGATCCTTGTGGGTCCCTTCCAGCTCAGGAAGGTTGTCTTTTCAGGCTCACTGTGCATCAGCCAGGCCCAGCACTGGAGCCTTTGGAGGTGTAGGAGCTATGTAACTTTGCATATAAGAGGGAAAGAACCTCAAACCAGCTGGCTTTATTTTACATCTCATTTCTAAAATAAACAGGACTCACCAGGAGGATATTTGCCAGCACAAGAATAAAATTTGAGGGGTTCCTAAAACTTGCCCTCATGCTTAAGGGAGGGCAGGGTTGGAGCTGTGCCCCAGGATATCATTACATGGTGGTTAATTAATAGTAGGCATTGATCAGGGTTTCTGAGGCGAAACACACCAGAATTAATTCCTCAACAACTCATTTAAAAAAGTGCACACTGTCCTGAGGTTGGCCAGTTGGAGGTAAAGAAGCCAAAAATGTTCCCAAAGCATCTAATTTTTTCTCATTTTTAACTTGTCTTCTTAAAAAAATGTAAATATTGGGGGGTTGTGCCTTCACTGGCTCCAATCTCAGCCACAGAATGCAATTGGAAGCAATTAGGGCAGTGTCTGCCTTGGCAGGAGCAGTGGCCGAGCCCCCTTTTGGCACTGCAGTTCAGGGCTGCATTTTATCGAAACCTTCCATGAGGAATTTGGTTTTAATTATCCATCACTGAGCTCCCAAACAGCTGCAAAAGTTTCTGAGTTTCTTAGGGAAGACTCCTGCCCTCCACAATCCAACCGCATTTTTAAAATCAGTCCCAGATGGCTTTCCTGGCACTGGGCAGCATGCTGGTGCTTCAGACAAGTGGAGGCATGGCCAGTGCCCAGCTGTGCCGTTTCCCTGGGACTGACCTGTGTCAGCACCCTGAGAATTCCTGGAAGTGTTCAAGGCCAGGTTGGATGGGGCTTGGAGCACCTGGAAGGTGTCCCTGCCCGTGGCAGGGGGTGGAACAAGGTGAGCGTTAAGGTCTCCTCCAACCCAAACCATCCTGTGATTCCATAATTCTGTGGTGCTCTTCGCCTTTTTTCTTGGATCCCATCTCAGACCCAGATGTCCTGGTTTGGATCATTTCCAAGCTGGCCAAACGAGTGGAACCCCTTCAGAGTTCCCCACCACCCCAGCGCTACCTGGACATGCTGCCCACCACGAGATGGACGGGAGGGAACGTGGTGGAATCTCTCCAGCGAGAGCTCTCAGAGCCAAGGATTACCAGGAGCTTGTGAGCTGCTGCCTGCAAGTGCTCCGTGCTTTTTAGTCTTCCTTCAAAAGTCATCCCCTTGGGTGTCTCGGCGGGAGCGCCGGGGGCTCGGCGCCGGCTGCCGTGCTGCTTTCCGAACCAGGACATCCGCCTGCAGCACTCTGTGTTCCCTGGGGTCCTCCCCCCCCACCCCAACCCCTGCAGCGCCCTGACCCTGTTTGGATTGTGGAAGGATAATTTCACGACCTGACACTTCCCTGGCTCTTAATGTTTCTAGTCAAATGCTGATCCCGAGGGAAATGAGGGAGTCTGGGCAAAACTGACAGCGCTGCTCCAAATTTGCCAGGGGAAGGAAGAAAAACCCAAGGTGTTTGGTGATGGTGACTGGGGTGGATACAGCAGTTGCTCAGCATCCCCTTTTTAACCTTGACAAGATAAAATCACGAAGGAAGAGCCCTTTCTTGCACCAGCTCAGTCAAGTGCACGTGTGGTGCCTCAGCTCTTCGTTCCCTCTGTTCACCCCCAGCTTCTCTTCCCAGCAATGAAGGAGGGAGAGTTTTATCTTTTGCCTTCTCACTCTGATCTTGGAGTTTCCAGCTCTGGGATAGCACATCCAAGCAGACACAACCTCCTTCCATCAATTCCATAGGGAGCCAATGCTGCCAGAGTTTGAAAGAATATTTCATGGATGTTTTAGGATGGGGCAGTGCAGGGAGGAGTGGTGGTGGCTGCGCTGACAGTGCAGGTGTGGTTGGAAGTGGTGAGGGTTTCCAAGGGTTCCATGGCCAAACATGAGCTGGAAAGAAGCTGTTTTGTGCTCAAAATATGTCTCCAGTGTGACATCCTTGTGACCCCTGAAGATTTGCATCTCTTTGTGTCTCTTGGAGCAAATGGCAGGGATGTCTCAGTTAAGCACCTCGTCCACTGTTTCAGAGAATCATTGAGTTTGGAAAAGCCCTCTAAGATCATCGAGTCCAACTGTTGTCTCAGCACCACCGTGTTCACCACTAAACCATGTCCCCAAATGCCATGTCCATGGTTTTTTTGAGCAATTCCAGGGGCCCAAATCTGACCCCAGCATTTGAAGTGGGTCCTCAGCAGTGCCCAGCACGTGGGGACAGGCACTGCCCTGATTGTGCTGCCACACCAGTGCTGGTACAAGCCAGGTGTCACTGGCCTTCTTGCCCACATGGGCACATGCTGACTTGTTTTTTTTTGCACCCAGGGCTCACTCTTTCCCTCTCGGATCCCTCCTGCCACTCCCAGGAGCAGGAGATTTTAGTTGTCATTTTGTTTAACTCATTTCCTCGTGCTTCAAAGCTTCTCTTTGTGCTGAGAACTGCTGCTTTCCACGTCACCTCTTTTAGCTGGGGCCTTTTTTGAAGGTGCAGAGTAGAGCTTATATTTTTCATGCAGCATTTTTTCTTCTCCCTCCATTCGTTTTAAAAAGCCCCCAAACCACCTGAGTAAGCTGCTCTTTGAAATACCAGCACAAGCACTGGCATTTGTGCAAAATCCAGAAAAATCTTGATCCAGAAACTGATCTAAAACAAAATAAATAAATCTCACCTCCTTCCCTGAAGGCAGAAGCAAGTGGAAGAAGGATCTGCTGATGAAAACTCTTCTGCAGCTTCCATTATGGCAGGGACACACCTACAGCTGCTGTCACATCCCCTCAGGCTCTGCAACTCCCTGACAGGAGCAGGGAGCCGGGTGGGGATCATACTCTGCTCCCAGGGAACAAGGGACAGGACAAGAGGAAACAGCCTCAAGTTGCACCAGGGAAGGTTTAGGTTGGATATTTTGGAAAATTTCTTCCCTGAAAGGCTGGTCAGGCACTGGCCCAGGCTGCCCAGGGCAGTGGTGGAGTCACCATCCCTGGATGTGTTCAAAAAGCGAGTGGATGTGACACCTGGGGACAGGGTTGGACTCAGTGATCCAAGAGGGCTTTTCCAACCTGAATGCTGCTGTGATTCCATGTTTCCAGGTCACTGCAGGGTGGCTCTGCTCGATGCTGGCAGCAGCACAGGAATGGTGTGGGTCCTCCCCTCTCGTCTGGCACTTTGCTTCCCTTTAGGCACATAGAGACAGTCCCAGTCTGATCGAGTCCATCTCAGTAACCATCACAGGGAGGTTGTAAATACAGTAATCCTGGGTTTATCCCCTTTTTGCTGGATATGTTTAAAGTGATTCCTTTCTTGATTCCTTTGCAGAATCACGCCCCTGCTCTCCCTGCCTGTGGAAATTTTAGTTTCTTTGGAGGAAAAAAGGGAACAAAAGTGCTTTTTCCTTGTGCTGCAAGTGGCCAGGCTGGTGAGGGGACCTGCCAGGGTTCAGTGCCTGGTTTCCACGTGGCCTTGCCCAGTCACGTGGGGATTTTCCAGCACTGTTCAAATCCATTGGCAGGTGTGTTTGTTGAAATAAATTCAGGCTTGCTATGGAGTGGATTACTTACCCAGCCGTTTGTCATCCTAACAAAAGTCACCACTGAAGGGGATTAGCATAAAGTGCACAAATAACTTTCAACAAGAGGCTTGTTAATCACTGCCTAATTCCCTTCTCCCAGTCTTCAGGGGAGGTTGGGTCACTAGGCCAGAATTCAAAAGGAGCTCTGAGGCTACTGAGGGGTTTGAGAAGCAAATGTTGAAAGCTCAGCTAACAAAGCACCATGGAAAGATCAGCGTGTGTGTGGCTGAAAACGGGAAATCTTTCGTAGAACCCAGACTGGCTTGGGTTGGAAGGGACCTGAAAGATCATCTCATTCTACTCCCCTGCCCTGGAGTTCCACTATCCCAGGTTGCTCCAAGCCCTGTCCAACCTGGCCTTGGACACTTCCAGGGATGGGGCAGCCACAGCTTCTCTGGGCAACCTGTGCCAGGGCCTCCTCATCCTCCCAGGGAAGAATTCCTTCCCAATATCCCATCTAACTCTGCCTTCTCGCAGTGGGAATCCATTCCCCCTTGTCATGTCACTCCATCCCTTGTCCAAAGTATTTCTCCAGCTCTCTTGGAGCCCCTTTAGGCACTGGAAGGGGCTCTCAGGTCTCCCTGAAGCCTTCTCTTCCATGGCTGGAACACCCTCAGCTCTCCCATCCTGTCTCCAGAGCAGAGGGGCTTCCACTCTCAGAATGTCTCTGGGCTCTCTCCAACAGCTCCACATCCTTCTTCTGTTGGTGCCCCAGAGCTGGACACAGCTCTGCAGGTGGGGTCTCACCTGAGCAGGGCAGAGGGGCAGAATCCCCCCCTCCTCTGCTGCCCACGCTGTGGGATGAGCCCAGGATGTGGTTGGATTTATGGTCTGTCTGTGTAACCTCAGCCCCCTGCCAGAGACCAGCCTACAGAAACTGTGTCCCAACGTGCTGCCTCTGAGCTTCATGCAGAGTGTGGCCCAAGCCATGGCTGTTGGGACAAGCACTCAGGTGCCCCTGTCACGACATGAGGCAGCTGCCAGGCACTGAGTCCCTTGAGATGCTTCCCAGACAGAATCTGGCATGGCTCATGGTGGAAGGTCACCTGCTGTCTTCCTTAGGAGGTTTCTCACCTGTAAAATACAAAGAGAGAGGGGCAGAGCAAATAAAATAATCCTGGGCTGGGACAGACTCTTGGGGTTTTGGTGACAGTGTCTACAGGGTGGGGCTGGCACTGAACCCACCCAGGAGCCCGGCTGAGGGCACAGCTCGAGGGAGAATGTGCTGATTCATAGCAGGGCTTGCTTGGCCTTTTGAGCTTTGCACACAGCAGCTTTGCTGAGTGTGTTGTCCATCCACAAGGTTTCACTGGTGCCAGGTCCCTTCAGTTAATTTCTTTGGTGCTGGGCAGCTCCTGTGTCACTTGTCAGAGGCTGTGCTGCAGAGCCCAGGGGTTGCAGGTTCCCTGGGGACACTCCTGTCTTCAATCAGATGCAAGATGAGGGTTCTATTTAGTGTGGAATGGATTGAACACTTAGTAACCAGGTGCAGGTAACAGGTAGCTGGTCCCCACGTCTGCAACTGTGGGAAAGAATTGTCCAATCCACAAAACTGGATAATAAAAACCAGAAAACTGTTTTTAATAAAACAGTGGTTTGCCACAACCAGCCTCTGAGGGATATTCATAGAATCATGGAATTACTAAGGTTGGGAAAGCCCTCTAAGATCATTGAGGCTAACCACTCCCCATGTTTACCACTTACCCATGTCACAAGTGCCACATCCATATCTTTTTTGAACAATTCCAGGGATGGGGAATCCATTACTGTCCTGGGCAGTTTGGGTTCAAAGGAAAGGATTTCAGTTCTGGAAATTAGGAATTGAAGAGCAAGGTTCAGGATTTCTTAGTTGAGCAAAAAAAAAAAAAAGTAAATCTTGAAATGCTTCAGAGGAGCTGAGGCAGATGAAGATTCAGGCAGGGATTGGAGATTCCTAGTTTGTGCTGGGAAATCTCTGTGTAGCCTGACGTGAGCTGGGTGCTGGTATCAGAGGTGGGAAATTGCTGCTGCCTCGCAGCTCTGCAGTTGTTGAACTGAACCTTTAATTCTCCTCATTATTAATTCCCTTTTTCTTTTTTTTTTCCCCTTCAGCATGAAAGACTTTCCAGGTAAGAATTTTCTTTTTTTCTTTATTTTTTTCCCTGTGCAGTATTTATTGACAGCGGGGTTTTTGTACAGCTTTGAAGCCAAACCCTGTCCCCTGAAGCACAGAGCATTCTTTCCTGAGCTCAGCTGTGGGGCCAGTTTGCTTCTGTCCTTTGCTCCCTAAATTATTTAACTGCAGAGATGAAAACCCCTCAGTTAGAAATGGAGCCTGTTCCCGCCACGGAGATGAGAGGTCCATGGGAAATCACTGCCTATGGGGGCTGGGCTGGTGCCCAGGGGACGTTTTCCTGTTGTTTTTGGGTGGTGGCTGCGGGTTTTGGGCAGAAACACCCAGCAGTGGGTGGAGGTGCTCCCACCCATCCCAGAGCCAGGACTGCCACAGCCTCCAGTGCCAACCAGTTGGGTCCATGCTGGCTTGTTCCAAGTTACAGCAGCTCCACAAGTGCTGGATCTTCACCCTGTTCCAGGTTGGAAGCAGCTACGAACCCCAGCACCAGTGACTCGTCCTACAGCGACCGTGCCTCTGGTCGCTCCAGTGCCTACAGCCGCAGGGAGAACCGGCTCGCCGCCCTCAGCAGCCGCGCAGAGGAGGAGAGCAACAGGGACTACAAAAAAGTAGGATTTGTTTAAAATGTACTGCTGTCACCACACGCACCGCAGAACCTGCCTGTGGCTGCAGAAACCTGCCCTGAGAGTCTGTGGGAAGACAAGAGAGAAAAAATCTGGTTTGGTTTTATCTGTTTCATGGAATCGCGTAATGATTTGGGTTGGAAGAGACCTTAAAGCCCATCTCGTTCCATCTCCTCCTGTGGGCAGGGACACCTTCCACCAGATCAGGTTGCTCCAAGTCCAACCTGGCTTTGAACACTTCCAGGGATGGGGCAGCCACTGCTTCTCAGGGCAGCCTCACCACCCTCTGAGTAAAGAATTACCTACACTAAAAACATCCCTTTTCTTTGCCTCTTGGCTTTGTTTGAACTCCCTACAAAATTCAGCAGCCGTTTTCTTATTTCATGCGAATTATGAAAACACAAGTAAAGCATCCAGACTGGTTCTGTTTGCCTTTCTTCTCATTTCCTGATGTGGGGGAGCAAATGCAACCCCACAGCTCAGTGCTGAGGGCACGTGTCTGCTCAGAGCAGCACAGCAGGGTGGGGTTAATTAACCAGGAGCCACCTGGGTAATTGAGGTGTTGTTTTGTGTTTCAGTTATACGAGAGCGCCCTGTCTGAAAATCAGAAGCTGAAGTCAAAGCTGCAAGAAGCCCAGCTTGAGCTGGCTGACATCAAAGCAAAGTTGGAAAAAGCAGCCCAGGTAAGTGAAAATCCAGGCCCTGACTGGAGGAACTGAGTACTGGCCATGATGAACCAACACTTGTTCCAGGATGGGAGAAGGAAGGGGGAGCTCCTGGGAGGGAAGGTGCTGTAGAAGAGACTGTTACTTTTCACAGAAATAAGTGAGTGGTTCTGTAAAGACTTGCTGCCTCTCCGGGCAGGAGCATCTGTGGGCTGTCTCAGCCTTTGTGCCGCACCCTGTGAGTGCTCTCGGGTTTAATCACTTGCTATTTTTAATTTCCGTAGCAGAAACAGGAGAAAACTTCTGACCGGTCCAGCATGCTGGAGATGGAGAAGAGGGTACGTGTCTCTGCTTTCTTCTGAGTCGCAGTCCTTGCCTCGTGTTGCTGTGCAGGGCAGAGTCATTTCTAGAAGGAAAGCGTTAATTAAAAGATAAGTTGTATTTTTGCCAGCTCGCAGTGATAATTGTGTTCTGACCTTTTCAGGGCCTGAGACTCTGCTGCTCTTCTTTGCACTTCAGGCTTCATTCTGATTCCTCTCTTTCATTGTAGGAAACTGCAGACCAACGGATTGTGTCACACTAAGACACTGTTGGTCCATTATGCTTTAAAATATTCTTGATCCTTTATAAATAAAGAGTGGTTTGGGGTGGTGGGGGAACTAAGCAAAAGCCTGAAGGGCTTCTCTCAATCTCTTCATCCCCCAGCCTGGGTTGGTACCAGGGGTTGCCCCAACCCAGGGGCAGGACCTTGCACTTGATCTTGTCGAAGTTATAGCAACATCCAGCTTGATTTGTGTTGAATTAGGGTCACAACAGCCACAAATACAGCTTTCTGAGAGTTAGAGAGTAAAAAAGAGATAGACTGTTCTCAGTTAAGATGGCATTAGCTGTTTGCAGGATGGCTCATGCATTTTGCACTGATGAATCCCTGGACTGAGTGCACTGGGGCCAGAAAGTGACCCAGCACTCAGCAGCAGCAGCCACACCCAGCAGCTGCATTTCCCTCACTATCCTGACCTCATGTCTCTTTGCAGAGGGCAAAGGAGCAGGGCAGAGAGTGTAAATCCTGTTCCTGACCCACATTTCCTATTTCCCCCTTCTCAGGGCATATCCCTGGGGCGTTGTGAGCCCCCTCATGTTGGGAAGGTCGTTGGAGGAGTCCAGATCTGCCCTCTGGCACAGGCTCTAGCTGAGGGCACCACCAGCACTCACATGGCAGAGCCTACCTGTGTAATCCTCACTTTTCACAATACACCAAAGGCAGTCAGCTTTACAGCTTTTCAGCCTTAAATTAATCTGGGACAAGCAGGGTTTCCAGGCAGGGAATTTCCTTTCCCTGTTCTCTCTTTCCTATTTGAGTGGCTCTGTGACTTTTCTTGTTGCCTCCTATAGTGAAGTTTAAGTAAATCCACGGCTTCACCTACAGAGCTCAAAATCACATTACAATCAGCAACTCCTGAGAACTGGGATCACTGAAAATGGGGGATAATTTCATTAGGGGTATGAATAGAGCTCAGGATCTGCCCAAATGGCCCCAGCACATATCCCTGCTGCTTTGCCAGCTGCCTTATCCCATCTGATCACCTCCTGGTTGTTTCCTCTGCCTTGCTTTGGGATGCTCTTCAGTGAATGCTCCTACAGAAATACAAGACTCTTATTTTTCTTTAAGAGAAAATGCACTGTAAATTTTTCTTCTAAAATCTTGTGACTCTCTTTGTTATGAATCCTTGTAAACAGGAGAAGCGAGCCCTGGAGCGGAAACTCTCTGAAATGGAGGAGGAGATGAAGGTAAGAAATAATCTTCACTGTGTCTATTCCATTTTGTATTCATGTCTTTTGGGATTGTTCTCCAGGAGGAGGATATTAAAGGTGTCCATGGGAAGGGACCCACGTTCCTTTCTGCAGTCAGGCTTTAATGGCCCTGTTCTCCCAACGTGAAACGCTAATTAATAAACTGTCCTGTTCTCATTCATCTGATTGCTCCTATGTTTGATTTGTTCTGCTGTTTGATCTGAGAATGGTGAAAGCTGTTCTCCTTAAGTGCCCTCCCAAACTAACCTTTTGTGGCATCGCTGAGTTCCAGTGTGCTGACCCCCTGTGCTCTGAGTAGTCTGCAGCCCAAGTTAAGCCGCCGAAGTTCTCTCCGGATGGGTAAGAAGACAAAGCTGGCTTTTGAGCTCACGCACACTGGCCAGGATAAAACACAGAGTGATTGTTTCCCCCCCCAAAGCATGTCACTGGGAGGCTGTGGAGGCCTGGGATAATTTCAGCAAAGAGGAATTTTGCTTCCTGGCGAGATGTGCAGCACGGCTTAGCGTCACAAGCCATCGCCACCATCGTGTTCTCTCTCTCTCTCTCTCGTGGTGCTGCTTCGAGGATGGTTCTCTCCTGCCCTGGGAGCAGGGGCTGAGCACTGCAGAGCAGGAGGCAGCACCTTCGTGCACCTAAAACTCCACACTGGTTTTGCAGCATCGCGTCGTGTTAGGCTGCGTTCTAACGCTCGTGTTCACAGAATGAACGTCCCCTTTGCTCTGTGCCCGTGCTTTTGTTCCCTTTGAGCATGACCCAGGTGGGACCAAGCTGCTTTCAGAAGGAAGGACACACCTGAGGGCTCTCCCAGTTCGCTGGTGGAAACGAGTTCCTGCCACCCTGGAGGAGGTTCCAACTTTTGTGTTTCTGTTTGAAGCTTTGAAAGGATCAGTGGCTTGTGCTGCGTATTCTGCTGCGATCAGTAGCAGAGTGATGTGGTGGAGTCTTCTGTAAAGGCTCTTGTTCTCTCACAGAGGAGAAAATAAGTGTGGATGTTCAAGCCAGGAGGGGGAGGAGAAAGGACTGAATGTGCCTACATTCCAACCTCTTTGTTCGGTGAGCAGGTAACAACCTTTATCTTCAGAGAGACCTTCCCGTGATTACAGAATTGTGGCCTTCAAGAGAAACACAGGCAGGAGCACTTTGTGCTGGTCCTTCAGCTCTCCAGATCACTGCAAACCAGCTCAGCCTGTGGAGTAAGAAGACAAGGTGGTGTCCTCTAGTGGCTTCTCGGTTTGGAAACATTTTTATTGCTTTGGAGAGCAATTAATGAAGGAAGATGCCTGTAGGGACTGTTGGACACAGCCAGAGCACCTCTGGTTTGGATAATCCAGAGCTGCAGAGTGATGGAAGCCAAGGTGGTGCAGAAGGAGAAGCACAGGTTGCACATGTTCTCACACTGCCCCAAGAGGTGTGGGCTGAAGGAGTCTGTGGTCCAGTTGAAAACGAGCTTCAGGTCCTCAAGAGTGGTGCTGACTCTGCTCTCTGCACTGTTCTTGCTGCATCAAATAACCAAAGTGGCCTTTTCTTAGTAGAATAAATAGATAAGAAAGTGGAACATCTCTCTTCTGAGGCACTGCTACATTTTCACTAGTGTTTGCAAAACCTTCAGCCCGTGATGAGTAAGCACCTGAGGGCACTGTGACATGTCTTTTTTGACAACCACTCAACAAAAAGAAGTATTGAATTGGACCTGTGCATCTGGAAAGCACTTTTGTGTCCACTCTCATTGTGCCTTGAAGCAGGAGAGTGAGCCCTGCTGTGTTTGCCTGCAGTGAGATAACCTCCACAGAGCATCCCTGTTAGTCCCCAGTGTGGGAGTTGAGCCAGGAAAAAAAATCTATTAATTCTGGTTGGACTTCTATTCCTGCTCCATGCACTGCCTGAGTAGCTGTCAAGCAGAGTCAGAAGGAATAAACAAGAAATTGGGAAGGAATAAGTGAATCCACCAGTTTCCTTGAACATGGAAGGTTATTCAGCAGTTGGAAACAACCAAACCTGCCAGGTGATAAGGTCTCAGGTTGGTTTGGGGGATTCTTTCCACTGGTCTTTGAATCGAACAGGTCCAGCAAGGCTCACATCCAGCTGCTTGATCCTGGGGTGTCTGTGTCCAGTTCCACACATCCTGGCCAGGATTCTCCTCTCCTTGCAGCTGACTTGTGAGGAAGAGGAGGCACAGAAATGCTTTGTACTTCAGGCTGTGCTTGAGGGAATGAGCTTTGTTCCTGTCCTGAGTGTAACCCCTGCTAACAAAGCCATCAAGAAGTACAGAGGAGCGGGACAGGCTCAGCAATCTCAAGACCCTTGGTGGCAGAGCTGCTCCTCAGACCTGCTCTTGATAAAGTGACAGAGTGGTGCAGCATTTCCCTGAGCGACTGCAGAATTCCACTGGAGATCCAGAACCTTGGCTGAGGCAGGAGAAAGAAAATTAACATTTGCACTGAGCCGAATTCAGTGCCAAGTGCCCAAGGTCCCAGCTGAACAGAGCAATTTTTCTTGAAGGTCACAGAAGCTTCTTTATTCCGTAGCAGCTCCTGGCCTCGGCCATCGTGCGTGCTCCGGGCATTTTTGTTTCCCCCAGTGTTGCAGGCACAAAATCCTTTAATTGAAGGCAGGTACAGCTGAACTGAGAGACCTGCTTTGGCTAAGCCAAGTCTCAAGCAGAGTGATAAGCAATCACAGCAGTATCGTCCAGATCCTGGTCTTCGCCCTTGGCTTCAGTCCCAGCTTCCCAGCCTTTGCTGAGTTTCTTGGATAAATAGGAGCCTGGCCTACCTGCAGCATGTGTACATTTTTACATAAATGATCCTTTCTGGGGGCTGTGCAGCGTGCTGAGGCTGAGTGGCAGCTGATGGGACCACGCTGAGGTTTCATGCTATGTTGGTGTGGGAAAGCAAAGGTGGTCTCTGAGATGATCACAATCCTTTCCATCTCGCGTAGAACGACACCTCATTTTACATATGTTGGATGTTTTCTGCCAGCTGTGAGCCCTGTGGTAAAACAGAGGATGTTTATTATCCGTGGTATTGTAGAATCATGGAATCTCTTGAGCTGGAAGGGATCCACGGGGATCATTGAGTCCAACCTAAGGCCCTGCACAGGACCCCAAGAGTCACACCATGTACCTGAGGGCATTGCCCAGACTCTCCCTGAGCTCTGGCAGGTTTGAGGCCGTAACCACTGCCTGAGGGAGCCTATTCCCATGCCAAGCACTCTCTGAGGGAAGAACCTTTTCCTGATATCCACCCTAAACCTCTCCTGACACAGCTCCAACTGTTCCCTCGAGTCCTGTCACTGCTCACAGAGATCGGAGCTGCCCCTCCACTGCCCCTCATGAGGAAGCTGCAAACCCCAATGAGGTCTAACCTCAGGCTTCTCTTCTCCAGTCTGAACAGACCAAGTGACCTCAGCTGCTTTTGGTACCACCAAAAGAAGTGACTCTTCCATCTTCTGGTGCCCAGGCAGCCAGCACAGCTCGGGCAGGTGAAGGGATGGATGGATGGATGGATGGATGGATGGATGGATGGATGGATGGATGGATGGATGGATGGGATGTGGTGAGCACAGATCTCACTGGTGAGGCGTCCCTGCAGCTCTCCTGCAGTTTGTTGGCCGTAGCTCTGTCTCGGGACCTGTTGATTTGTCCAGTGTCAGAATTGCATTGGTGTGTCCATGGAGCTGTTTTGTCAGTTTGATGATCTCGAGGGGCTCAAGCCCCATACTTTACTAGCTCCCTGCACTCCTCACCTTGCTTCTGTTGGTTTTGCAAAGCATTTCAGCAGGGTGTCTTGATTCCTTCATGAGGAGCAGAGGTAGTGCTTTTGAGCAGCTAAGAGTGGAGCCAATGGATGGTACTTCTGTTTTGTACAGGAATGTACAGGAATGAGCCCTTGGACAAAATATCCCAGGATGCAGCAGGTTCCTTGCCAGCTGCAGCCAGCTCTGGGTCATCATGGAATCCCTGGTTTGGGTTGGAAGGGATCTCAAAGCTAATCTTGTTCCAGCCCCTGCCATGGGCAGGGACACCTTCCACTATCCCAGGCTGCTCCAAGCCCCGTCCAACCTGACCTTGGGCACTTCCAGGGATGGAGCAGCCACAGCTTCTCTGGGCAACCTAAGACGTGCAGGTTGGGTGGGTGGTCATTGCAGCTTCTTTGTGATGCAGTAGATTTATTTGTGCAGCCCCTGGTTCAGGACAGACAGTGACCTCCTTTGGAGCACTTCCTTCTGATGAAATGGCAAAAAGGAATCCCCTTTCCTGTAGACCCTTCCCTCCATTTCCTCCTGCTGCTGCGAGCTCAGGAGCATGGTGGGTGCTTTCTGGAGCTACTTTGGTTCAGGGCTGGGATTTTGTCACTTGAACTTACAACTCTTCTTTTGGATATTTCCCTTCCTGCCTTCCCCTGTCCAGTGTCAGTGCTCCCCCCACCATGCAGGAGGGGTTCTTGTCCAGCAGGGGTTCTTGCTCTCATGGCCCTGCTACCTGATGAGTTCTGAGCAGGGAGGAGAGTCAGGCCATGGCTCAGGAAGCAGCTCCACAGCCCTGACATCTCCTGGCACCCACGCTGGTGTAAATGTCCATCACATGGATTCGCTTTCGCATCACTGGGAACAGCCTTGTCCCTGTGGCACTGGGATGTCTGCTTGGCTTGTACCGTTTCCACATTCTGCTTCCCTCGTGGCTTTTCTGTTCCCTTCCTCCCATTGCCTCTGTACCTGTGCCCAGTTTTTACCTGTACCCAGTTTGTACCTGTGCCCAGTTTGTACCTGTGCCCCAGCGTGGGGCTGCTCAATCTCTGCACTGTCCTGTGCCCACCATTGCCTTTGTCACCAGGAATGCCAGGCTGGCACATCCCTCCCGTGGGAGGTGCTCTCATTCAGACTCCTCCAGCTAAAAATGAGAGACTTAAGGTTCAGACTTGCCACCTCTGGAGGTCAGAGATAAATTGAGCCCCAGAGAAGAGCTGAATTTGGGCAGAGGTGAAAAACCTCCCCAAACCTCAAACGTTTTGGCAGGACTGAGCCTGGGCAGACCCAGGAGCATCACTCAGGAACAGGGGACAGGAGCAGGCACAGTACCTATCTCAGTGATTTGCTGTGGGACAGTGACACTTCCAGGTGCTTCAAGTCTGTGCCTTTAGAATCTCCCATGAAGCTCTGGTCGCTCTTTGCTCCACACAGCTGCTTTAACTTTTAGTGAAACATGAAGAAAAGGAGTTTTAAAGAAATTCTCAGTTCCCAGCAGTGCTTTCAGAGCCTGTGTAGGTGGTAAGTCAATGGTGATAGGTCTCACAGCAGTTCCCAAGTCCCAGGGCTGTCTGGGTAAACTAGAATATAATCCTGCTTTTTGGTGGAAAATCGCTTTATTTGACCTTTTTTAAGGCTTTGGGAGCCCCTGGAGAAAGGGACGGTTCTCCAAACATCCTCAGTGTGTTGACAGGCTTTCCCTGTCCAGCACTTACTGCTACTAATTTTTCTTTTACTCTCTTTTTTCCTTTCACTGCCTGTGGACTAAATTCACATTTCTGTGCCCATTTGTCTCCGTGATGTTCTCTCTGTGTTTCTCTGTCCACTCCTCTCACTCTCTGCAGAATCTCCACCAGCTCAAACAGATTCACACCCTGAGGCAGATGAATGAGCAACTGCTGGCTGAGAACAGGGCTCTGACCCGGGTCGTAGCCAGACTTTCTCTGCCCGCCAAGCCCTCAGAATCAGAGGAGCTGTAGCTGCTTTCCCTCCGGCTCATCTCGCCTCCCTCTTCCACTTTTCCAGGCAGGTCTCTGCTCCCTGGCTGTGCTGCTCCCTCTCCTCCCTGCTCTCCAGGGTGCCTGGTGAAGCTTTGTGGCTCAAAAGCAAAGAACCCTCACAGTTCCAAAAGCATGGCAGGGCTTTGCTGCAGGCTCTGCTCGTCCTGCTGGCTCTCGCTCTGCTTGGCAGTGCTGCCAACCTCACCAGCTTAGCCCTGGGAAATGGCTTTGGGGTGGCTTGGCAGTGCCAGCAGCCCCTTGCCCGGTACCCTGCCTGGAGACAGACCCCCAGACTGGGTTGGATTGGAAGGGACCTTAAAGCTCATCTCATTTCCAACCCCCTGCCATGGGCAGGGAGACCTTCCACTAGACCAGGTTGCTCCAAGCCCTGTCCAACCTGGACCCTGGACATCTGAAAATAGGTGGTTTATGCTTTGTCAGCTCATAATAGAATTCTTTTTTAATTGGACTTTAGTTGGACTTTAGTTGGACAGTTCAGGGAGAAGCTGGCACTCAGCAAATCTGCTAATCCAAAGTCAGGATGAACAGTGTCATAAAGTTGTAGGGATATTGTGAAAAGTGCATGTTTTAGACAGGGGATTTTTAGAAAAATTACAAACAGAGCTGTCCTCAGCAGGTTTTCTTGGTCACTTGAGCTCCTTCCCTCATTTTAAATGGAGATTTTTGAGTCTGAGCCCACAGGTTCAGCATCCCCCCTGCTTCCTGTGGGCTGGCACAGGATGGGGGACCCAGCAGGAGCTGGACCAGAAGCACTTTGTGTTTTCATCTTCAGTTTATGATCCAGTACAGGGCAATTAGAGTTTGAAACCCAAAGATGACCCTTCCCTAAGCTTTGCCCTAGCACATCACACAGCTAAATTATATCCCTTCCTGCTACTTCATTGGTTCTGTGCTAAAATAAAGCTGTAACTGCTCCTTTCTCAGGGCCCTGCCTGTCCTTTGCAGGTTAGTAGGGATATTCAGATCCCTTCAGACACAGAAGCACTGTGCTCTTGTGGGCTGGAAGTGGCACCACGGTATAAAAAATTCTATTCTTAGCACACAAATTATATCAAGGCTGATTAGCCACAGAAACAAAAGTAACCAGGGGAATTGTGGCTTCCCCTTTCCAGGAGTCTCAGCTCAAGCCCACATGTGTGTCCCAGGGGCTGGGAGAGTTGAGTGTTGTGTTGTGTGCCCTGGATTGTGCAGATGGTCAGGTGCAATGATCTCACTGCCTTTCTGCTTTAAATCTGCCAAAGTATCCTCCAACCCATCCCTGCAAGTCACCTCTCTTCTCCTCTCAGGAAGTGCCCACGTTATCACTTCCCTTCCATCCCCCCCTGCTCAGAGGTGCCCTCCTGTCTGGCTGAGCTGTGGCTGGGCTCATCCTTCCCTCCTCACTCAGGTTTGCTTTTCCCTGCCCTGCTGGAGCTGGGGAAGAGCCATGTGCTGCTCTGCTGATCTATTTTCAACTCTTTTAGTAGGTCTAACACAGTGTAAACCCTGGCACGTGTAAACCCTGGCTCAGAGGGGTCTGTGGACATCACAGCTGTGCAGTGCCACCACTGGTTTCGTGTTCACCATGCCCTGGCAGCAGCAGTGCTTTTCAAAGAGTCTCGTTTTCCCAAACCCACATCAAATTTCTGAGGAGCCACTTTCTGCAGTGTCACAGGTAGCACAGAGCCCTGCTGCTCAGACCATCCTCCAGCCCAAAACTGACTTTACACCGATGCTGCATCACAGTCAGCCCTGCCATCCCCTGGGGCTGGGCCACATCCCTCCTCTCCACTCCCATGAGACACCTCTAAAGCTGGAGTTTCCAGCCCCAGCCTGTTCACATGTGGTTTATTTTACCCAACTTGAGGCCACTCAGCTTTGAAGGGAGGAACACCCTTGGCTCAGGAGGGGTGAAATTGTGCAGGGTTGATGTGTCCCTTTCAGAAAGGCTCACTGGGCACTGATGGGAGTAGGGATACAACCAGGAAACTTTTCCAGAGACACTTATTTTACATGCAGTTAATGGTTCTTCATTTTTAAATAAATTATGAAATTGCCTGGAGCCCATGTGTGAGGCACAGACGCCACCAGAGCTCCTGGTGAGCTGTGGGACTGAGGTGGGTCTCTCTGGAGTTGTTTCTGGGAGCCTGTGACAGATTCTCTCTACCAAAGTGAGTGGCAGGACTTTGTACCCCCCTTATCACAGCAATGGGCACTCAACCACTCCAACAGTGACACAGGGAGGACAAGGACTGTCCCTCCACAGACCCCAGTGGGTGGTTGAGCTGTCACAGGGCACTGGGAGGCACCAGGCTGAGCCCTGGGTGAAGCTCAGGGGGAAACAGAGGAGTGCAGAGACAGCAAGGGCTCTGCCCTGTCTCTGAGCTCCTGAACACTGATGATGGCAGTGCCTCTCCTTTGGCTGTGAGAAATGTCATAGGGAGCCACAAGTGCTGTTCTGGTGACAGCCCAGCTGTGGTGATGCACGTGTCACTCCACCACTGGGTCCAGGGAGAGACTTCCAGCGTCACTGGCTGGAGCTCTGGCCAGCCCAGCACACCAGTTTTCCCTTTCCCCACTATCCCACCATGTGGCACCATTCCCCTCTTCCCTGTCTAGCAAAACCTCCTGCCTGGAGCATCCACCACCAACACTCACAGGGATGAGGTTGGAAGTGTTGGGGCCACCATGGCTTGGCCTGGCTGTGAAAGGAGGGAATTACTCCAGCACTGCCCCAGGAACTGCCTGCACTCGATGCCAGTGGTCATGGAGGGGGGGCTGCAGGTGGAGGAGAGCAGGAGTTGTGGTCAGAGATGAAACTCCAACTTAGGAGGAAGGAGAAGATTTAGTGGGTTTGGGGGAATTCCTCCAAGATTCACCTCGGCAGAGAGAAGTTGTGGCTGAGCTTACACCGGTGCTGTTCATGCCTGTGTGTGACCCTGCTGTCCCCCAGGCTGCTGCAGCAGGCTCAGGGCTGCTCACCCCGTGGTCTGCTGGCACCTGTGGTGGGACTGACCCCTTGTCTGTCACACCAGGACAGGAGTAGGGAGTGTCCTCCTGGTGCCCCGATGGCCAGGAACAGTCCACTGAAGGTCACCCTCCTGCAGCATGGGGAGCAGGGGAAGTTTGGAGGGTTTATGCCAGTTGGAAGTGCTGGAAGGGTCTTGTTGAAGTTATTTCTTCTCTATTTCCAAAATGCTCAGCCCTTTGTCTGTGTTGTAACCCTTGGTTGAGCACCCAGGAGGTACCTCCAGTGTCAGTGTGTTCTGCCAGTCCTCTGGCCTCAGCACATGTGACTGTAACACATCTGTGGGGTCCCAAGGAGATTTGGGGGTATTCTAAAGAGATTTTGCAGAGTCCAGTCCTAAGTGAGAGAATTTCAGACCTTTGTTTTCCTCTCTAGTCCTGGCAAAATGGAGAAAAAAAACCCAAATTAGGAAAACCAGCTTTATCGTTTTGTGCTGAGCTCTGATGAGCCTCTGGGCACAGGTTTGGGGTGAAACAGCTCAGAAATGGTTCCTGCCCTCCCAGCCTGGTGCTGAGCTGCTTCTGGGGCCGTGGCATTGCTTTGCACCACGGGCTTCCAGGCTCGGGGCTCCCTGGCTCTGCTCTGCTCGAGTCCCCTCTCACCCCTCCACGCCTGGCAGCTGGATTGGGAAAGCTCTGGAGATGCTCCAGAGAAATGGAATCACACTGGGTGGAGGGGATGCAATGATGTCCCCTCTGGTCCCTCCGAGCCGAGCTCTGATCCCGTCTTGTCTTTGTCTCTCTGCAGATTTTGACAGAGCTGAAGTCGGACAACCAAAGGCTGAAGGACGAGAACGGAGCCCTCATTCGTGTCATCAGCAAACTCTCCAAATAGGAATCCTGAGCAAAGGCAGGATGAGGAGGGGCCCTACACCAGCTGCCAACCCCACCACGAGCCCTCCCCGCCCTTTCCCACCCGTCACGTACAGCAAGTGTTTCAGCCGTGGGATCAATGTCACACCTGCCTTGCCCTGCCCTTTGCTGTACATTCCCTCTGTGCCCCTTTTTTCCCCCCCAACACACCCCCCTGCCATTTTATTATTTTTAATTTAAGCATGTTGTGGTATCTCGGACATTTTATTCAAGGGAGAAACGTGAGGACTGGGTTTGAGCTGCCAAAACTTCTTCCAGGAGCCCAGTACTTGGTGTCGGACTCTGACCTGGAGTGGGAAGCTCCTGTTGTAAAAAGTGACACCTCAAAAACTAATCCAGCACATCCAAGCCCTGTACAGGTGGGAAATGTGAGGCTGGGACACACGGGCTGGGACTCTGAGGATGCACATCAACCCACTGAGATGTGGGACTGGCTAAATGTGATGCTGTGAAAGCCACCTGGGCTCGTGTCTGTCACAGGCTGCTTTGCACAGAGACCTTCTCCTCCTCTCACCCCAGTACACCCAGTCCTTTATTTAAGATTTTGAACCTGTTCAGTAACAGCAACACTGACACTTGGCATCAGACCCTTATCCCTCACCCTCCCTTTCACCCAGCCTGGGTGATTCCATGTCACGTTGTGTTCTTCCAGGGCTCCTGGCTGTAATTAGTAGCATCCATTTGCACCTGGACTGTTGCTCCTCGGGACAGGATGTATCACAGGTACTTCTGAGCTTTCTGAAGGACAACCTTGAACCCTTAGAGACCCCTCTGCTGCTTTTACAGAGCGTTGCTGTGCCCACACCAGAAAGCAGCCTCCCTGTCCTAAACAGCCATCTGGGACATTCTGCTGTCTCCACGAAGGCAGTGCCCCGTAGTGGAGTCTGGTCTGGTACTTTGGGTACCTCACTTGGATTTGCAGCAGGATTTGTAGAGAGGGGAAATGCCAGAGTCCTGTTCCCACCCACCCTTCTGTTGGTGGAGCAGCTTGACACTGCTGGATTCCAGGGCAGAGGACCGTGGAGCAGTGATCACTTGCACACACCTTGGAAAGGTGAGGGTGCATGGGTGTCAGACAGGCAAGGAGCTGCTGGTAACTGAATCACTGTGATGAAAGTCTCCTAAACCCATCAAAAGCTTGTGATAAGCCTTGACCTTGAAGGAAACCTCCAAAAATACCCCTCTTTAATCTTACATGCACTCAGAACCGCTTGGAATTGTTCTCCCCGTGGGCATTGGCTCCTCTCTCCATGCTGTGGGACCTGTCATCAGGTCTGCTCAGCTTCCCCTTAACTGACTCCTCTCAAACAATACCTTCCCTCTCAGAGACATCTTGCTGTATCCAAACCACTCTCCCATCTACATCCTTCCATATTTGTTTTTTTCATTCCCTTTGTCCTTGGACTCCCAGCTCCGTCTGGCCAAGGGCTGCAGTCTCAGTCACTGAACCTGGAGGTGGCCACGAAGCAGCTCTACCCACGTTCCCAGGCAGCTCTGCTGACGGTGGGCTGGGGGGACTCTGCTATGGAAGAGAGAGATGAGATACTTGAACATGAGCAGAGTACTTGAGCTTGCTCAACAGGGTAAAATTCATCAGGCAGTCCTGGGCTTTTTGGAACCTTTTGCTGGTTATTGCCTCAGAAAGCATCTTTATTTTCCTCTCCCTTGGGCTTTTTTCTCTTTGGTTCTCCACCCACCCACCCTAATTCTCCATCTTTCCCCCTTCCCCTCCCTGTCCTGCCTGTTTCCACCTCTCTTGCTCTTCCTAGAGCTGCTGTCTTTCCCCAGGCAGCTCTGGCCAGAGGTTCCTCTTCAGCCGGCAGAGCTTTAGGTGCCGTTTCCCCTGGTACACTGAGGCCCTTCCTCTGCTGCTGAGCTTTGGGAGGAAGAGACCAAAGCTGGTAAAGGCATCAGGGTTTCTGCAGAGCACTGCCTAAGCCAGGCATCCTTTTTATATTCCTTGATTTTAACCCTGCTCTATTTAACAGCTTTAAGTCTTGAGATCCGGTCAACGCTTCCCCTGCACGCCGTTCCCTCTTGGTGCACTCTTTATGTGAGTACTTCTGGCGTTCTTGATGTTTTCTCTCTTGGTGACCCGCTCCTCTCTCCAGCCTCGGGCTCTCGGCTCCGCTCAGGAGCTCAGGAGCCCAGTCCCTTCCGTGCCGTGTGGAGGAGAAGATGCTCACCAGCTGATGGTGAGGATGAGAGTTCACACTAAAGATCCTGTTCTTCTCACGAGGCGGGTTCCTGGCAGCAGGAAGAAGCCTGGTGTCTGTTTTAGGGAGAGGGTTCAGCCCAATCTGACAAACCCATCCCGCACTGATGTTTTGCTCCTCCCTGGCAGGACACTCACTGCGTTTTTTTTCCTAAGGAACAGTATGGGAAGGCTGTGGGAGGTTCGTTCCTCTGAGTGGCGCCTTGCAAAGCCAAACCACTTGAGCTGACGTGTCTGCTTAGCACTGGATTCCCCCCTGAAGCCCAGGGAGGGGGGGGAGGGCCCCCATAGCTCAGTGTCCCTGATCAGCCAAAGCTGTGAGCGTTTCGCAAACCAAATTCTTGAGAATGAATTTTTTTTTGGTCTCACTTCTTGCCTGACATAACCAGTGCACTGAGGAGGTGACAAGCAGGACACCTTGAACCCTGTGCTTGGGACAGGGTGCAGAGCGAGCAGGTTTTAAAACCGATCCCTCTTGGAACCAGAGCATTTGCCAGACGTGGTTTCCCTTGGGGAACACGAGGGTGGTTGTTTTTCTTTTCTAAGCAATTGCTTGGGGTGAATTCATTTTTATTGCTTGGGGTGAACCCGCCTGTTGTGGCTGCAAGTTTGATGATGGCTCTTTGTAAATAAACTCCTTGGAGAAGCAGGACTGGCTGACGAGATGGGGAGAGAATGTATTTTTATGCAACTTTTGAGTGGCCTTTCAAACCCTGAGATGAATGATTTGTTTTACTGGTTGTTGTTATATAGTATTATAAGTGTGTTTGAAAGTTTGGGAATAATATTCACAGCTATGATGCTTGTAAACACAACAGTATTTATAAATGAATAAAATAAGAGTTGATTAAATAGAAGCTTTGACTTTGCTTCTGTCTTTCTGGAATTGTAAATTGTTTGAACTAAAATGCCCTGCTTCTCCCAAAATTGTCATGGCATAACAATATCCATCATCCATAAAAGCACAAATGCTACAACATCAGCTGCAACACAGGTGCCTCTTCAGGGAAGCTGAAAAGAAGGGACTGGGATGCACATCCTTGAAAGCTTCTCACCAGTGGGAAGGCAAAAGGGAGAGAGTTCCATCTTGCTTTGGGGGTCAGGACCATCTCCCCTGTTCTGCCAAGTCCTATGTTTGTTCTTCTCAGGAGTTTGGCCAGGACAAAGTGTGGCAAAGATACGAGCAGGTGATGGTGTCACATCTGGGATCCTCTGTCCCAGCTGAGGCTGCTGGAAACCTGCGTGTGTTCCAGACTTCAGAGGTGGTTGGAGCAGGTTGAGCTCTTCCCTTGGAGTCTGGGAGCGTCCAGTGCTTCTGCAAAGCAGGGCAGGACCTAAACATGATTGTAGGGACCAGACTGCTGGGACTCAAGAATTTGGTGGGGACCTTTGATATCTTCCACCTGTGCCCCATGTCTGGGCTGGCCACACTCAGCCAAGAGCCAGGACTCAAGGCTGAGGAAAAGTCACAGGGAGCTGGGAGGGGCTCAGCCTGGAGAAAGGGAGGCTCAGGAGGGACCTTCTCACTCTTTGCAACTTCCTGATAGGAGGGGGGAGCCAGGGGTGGTCGGGCTCTGCTCCCAGGGTACAAGGGACAGGACAAGAGGAAATGGCTTCAAGCTGTGCCAGGTGAGGTTTAGGTTGGATATTGGGAAAAATGTCTTCACTGAAAGGCTGGTCAGCCCCTGGCACAGCTGCCCAGGGTAGTGGTGGAGTCACCATCCCTGGAAGTGTTCAGAAGACACACGGATGTAACACCTGGGGACATGGTTAGTGGTGAACATGGCAGTGCTGGGGGAATGGTTGGACTCAATGATCTTAGGGGTTTTTCCAACCTCAGTGATTCCATGATTCTATGTTTCGGGGGACCTGGGCACTCGTGGGGTTCCCCTCACACCTCGATCCCTCTCACCGTCCCTGGGCTCCCTGCCCCTCTCCGCGGATGCCCCGCTAGCCCCAGCAGCAAGACCAGAAGGGAAAACCAGCTCCTTTCAGCTCGTTTCTTTAATAAGGAAACAGAGATCATTACAAAATAACCATCGAACGATCAGAGACGGGAACGACAGAGTCCACACGAGGGGAAGGGGCGTTAAAAGCAGCTTCCGCCGGAGCCGAGCGCTGCGGGGCCGGGCCGGGGCAGAGCGGGGCCGGCACTGGGGGTGCAGGAATGGCCGAGTCTGCTCTCCCAAAGGAGCTGGCTCCTCCCTTCCAGTTTGAGGGGGGAAAAGGAAAAGAAAGCAGAGCCTGTGGCCAAGACTGGCGGCTTCTCTTCCTTTTAACCCCCGGAGCACCTCCGTGGCACAGCTGGGTTTGCTCCGCGGGGCAGCCAGGAGAGGGGAAATGCCAGTTCTCATGCCCCAAACCAGAAACCACCTGACTGGACGTGGCAGATGTAACCCATACTGCTCCGAAAAGCCTTTTCACCAACCAGCTTTTCCATCACAGAAATGCCCCCGGCAGGTCGGCCCCGTCCCCTCGCCCGCTGTGGCAGCGGCACCCGTGGCCACCCAGGCGGTGGCCGATGCGGCTCGTCCTGGCAGCCTGAGCCCCACGAAACCGGGGGGGACGGTGGACACACACGGGGGGAAGGAGGTCACGGCTCGCCGCGGGGCCGCCCCCGCGGGGTCCCGGCGCACCGTGCTCTTATATGGCTTCTAAAGTTGCTCTGACGGTGAAATGCACCAACAACGCGACACAGGACACGGAAGCCACGATGTTGCCGCTACCCGGCCATGGGACAAACGCGACGAAGTACAGGAACAAGACACACGTGGATGTCACGGGCTGCATCGGTGACGGCTCCGCTGGCGGGCCGGGCTTGGCATGCTTTGCTTCTTGGCATTATTTTCTTCTTTTACATGATTTTATTGGTTTGTTTGTTTGTTTTTCCTTTTGTTCGGGGGGACAAAATAACCAGGGCGGTGGAGAGCTCTCGAGCGATGAGTTTCGTCGGTCGCCGTGTCCTCCCTCGCTGGAGGCCGGAGGTGGGGACGGCGGTGCCGGGGGCGGTGGCAGCGCCGGGCTGGGGCCATGCTGCTACTGCTACGTGGCTGCATCACATGCACTGCTCGTGGTATTTACAGCTATGTCTCCATATATTTTACCTACACACAGCTAAGGGCGGGGAGGGGAAAGGGGGGTTCAGAGGCAGCGCAGATGGCTTCAATACGTTGGTTGGTTTTCCCCTTTTTATTAAAAAAAAAAAATTATGTATTAAAGTCATAGTCTTCTCCCTCCCCCCTCCGCCCCCACAAGGCTTAGAGAGTCTGAATGGAAAGCAGTCAGGTGGGATCTCCGCTCCTGGTGAGACCCTGGACAATGGGGTGGGTCTGGGGGTGGAGGGGTGAGGATGGGGGTGCACAGGAGGGGGATGAATGGTGGGGTGTGTGTGGGTACAGCTGTGTACAGGTGTGAAGGTGTACAGCTGTGCAGGTGTACAGGTGTGCAGGTGTACAGGTGTGCACAGGTGTGTACAGGTGTGCACACCTCCACCTGCTCCCCAGGGGAGGCTGCAGGGCTGTGCACACTCTCTGACTGCCAACAGAAGGATTTCAGTGCTCTCTCAGATTTCTTCTTTTTTAACACATTTCCATGTAAGGCAAACACTCCACCCTCCCCAACCAGTGGCTGAATGGACCCCAAGGTGAGACTGAATCCAGCCAGTGCTCCTCGCCATGGGGCATCCTCACCTCCCAACTCCCCTTTAATTAAAAGCAGCCTGAGACTTCTCCCTTTGGCTACAGGAGCAGGGCAAGACCCATTTGCTGACGCTGACACATTGATTAGGAAAAGGGACTAATTAAAGCCGGAGATGGCCTTGTGGGACCAATTGCTCGATGACCCCTTCAAACCTGGTGTGACCCTGGTGCGACCCTGGTGCCACTTTCACCAGGGCATGAGCCAAGTGCAGCCATGGTGGTGGTGGAGGTGGTTGTTGGAGGTCCATCCAACATCCACCCCCACTGCAGCTTGGTTATCCGAGCCCAAAGCTCCCAAGGGTGGAGCCATCCTTCCCTGGGAACTTGTCCCAGAGCTGCACATCCCTCCAGGGGCAAGGGCCAATCCCTGTGTCCATCTGAACCCCCTGAGATGTGGCTGCCACCAAATTTTCCATCATCTCCCCACCTCCAGCCAGGCCAGGATGCCCTTTTGGATCCGGGAGCTGTGGGAGCTGCTGAAGCATCCGACAGCACTGGGCTGAGCTCAGCTTTGGCACTTTGTCCCCGGACTCAGAACACCCTGCACCAAGGTCCCAGCCCAGATGTTGGACCCCCAGAGCAGTGTCCCCAGTGCTGGGACATCCCCAGGGCTCAGCTCCATTGCAGCAACACCCTTCACTGCTGCACCGTGGCAGAACCCCCAAAACCCAGTCCAGAGAAGCCAAGTGGAGCTGTGACCGTGGCAGGGAGTCAAAGCTGGGACGGGGACACCACCTCATGTCAGAGCTCCAGTACAGACTGGTCTGAACTGGGCAGGGCTGCTGGATCCTCTCCCAGCTACAGGGAACACTGTTGGCTTTCCAGCTCAGGGGCTTGGTCTGACAGTGGGAGAGGTGGCCCAGAGAGGCTCTTCCTCACTGTGAGGGACACGGATATGGCTTAAACCCCCTGGAGGGAGCAGGATGGAGTAGATTCAGCAGCCAATGGTCCGGTGGGGAGCAGAAACTTGTGGGGGGCAGGGGCTTTGGTCCCTTGTTGGCCCTGGGCTCACTCTTGCCCCCTGCATCAGGTGGGCTGCAGTGGTGGGACTGGAGCTCCCCAAAGCCCCCCCAGCTGCCCCCAGGCTGTGCTGGGGTGCCCACAGTGGGGCTGAGCCCAGGGGACACACGATGGATGGGCTTTGGGGAGGCAGCTGGCACTGCTCTGGGGGGCTGCCCTCGCCACATTCGGAGACCTCTCAGCACAATAAACCTGCCTTGTGGAAGCATCTTGACCTACAGGTTTCACCAAGCATGGTGAAACAGATGCAAATCACCCAGCACTGCCCTTGCTTGGCCTCTGAGGATGCAGTGGAGGTGGAGGTAGTGGCGACTGACATGACACTGATGGTGCATCCACATCCACGTGTCTCCTCAAAGCAGCCCCCCTCGGGGCTCCCTGTGCTCAGACAGGCCCCCACAGCTCCAGTTGCAACACCCAAGGGCTCAGCACCACACCAGCCACAGAGGGGACCGCCTGCAAACCTCTCCCCAGAGCAACCAAACCTGGAGCTGACCAGGGGCATTCAGCCATCCCTGGGGGAGACCAGGGGGAGGCACCTGGCTCTTTCCAGAGGGTCTTCTCCACTGTTTTGCCGTCCCACAGCTGATCACAACCCGAGCAAGCACGGTGGGTCCAGTCACTCCACACCATCAGTCTCTGGTATCACCTCCATGCGACGTTCCATGGTTCCCCACATGATCCCGAGGGAAGGATGGCAGCAGCAGCGCTGCAAGCTGGTGACGTGGCTGCCGGGGAGGGTCCCAGGCATGGCTTTGCAGTGGTGGGGGACGGCGAGCAGGACATGCAGCACGAAGGGAGCGGTGCCGAAGAACGAAAAGAACCATCCGTGTCTTTTTAACCTCTTCCCCTGGGAAGCTATGGGACTGCCTGGAAACCCTTCCAGAGCCGTCAAAAGGGCGTTCCAGCTTAAAACACAACCAAAAAAAAACCAAAAAACACTGAGACGGGAGGTTTTGCAGGACTGAGGTATCGGAGCTCTGGACTGTCCGCAGTGCCGCGCCGGCCGCCAGAGCCGCCTATTTGTTCTTCCCAAGAGCTGCATCTACTTCTTCCTCGGGCTTCAGCGAGTGCCACTGGGCGATGGGCCGCCGGGGGTTGGCCAGCATGTCGGACCAGTGCCGCAGCTCCGTGCCCGTGGAGTTGCAGCCCGTGAAGATCTTGCCGATGGCTTCGTTCTTCCCCAGCTTGTCGTAGTCCAGCACCGTGATGACCACCTGCACTTTCTGCAGGAGGTAAAAAGCTTTCTTTAGGGGGTGGAAAGGCACAGCACCGTGACGGCTCCGTGGCCCCAGGGTGCTGCAGGGGATCCCCTAAGGCTGAGCCTGCTCAGTGGACTCATTTTGGGCAGGGCCCCCTCCCTGCTTCCTGCACGTCATTCCCCAAGGAGCCCAGGGCTGCAGAGCCACAGTGGGGACCCAGCTCATCCTCACCTGACTCGCCTGGGTTAGGTCACCAAGGTGTGGTGAAGGGACTGGGTAAGAGCTGTGGGAGACTGGGCTGGGGCAAGGGGCAAGTGCAGGGGCTTGGGCAGGGCCTGGAGGGGCAGAAGGCACTGACCAGTGGTCCAAAATGCCTTTAGGACCACTGGAGTGTCTTTGTTATGCCTGGGGTGAGCACTGTAGGATCAGGAGCAGAGGAAAGCCCCATTCCAGCTGTTGTCTCCGTCTCCAGCATCTCCCATAGGTGCTGCCCAGCCTCCCAAGTCTGACCCTGCACCAGCTGCTCTCAGCATCAGTCCAGGCCCAGGATGGGACTGGGTGTATCTCAGGGACCAGGGACCACCCCTCTTCTCTGCCTCCTAGGGGAGTCATCAGACAAACCTGTATCTGCTCGAAGGGGATCTCAAAGCTGAAGGACTCATTGAAGTAGGGGTTCAGGGTCTTCTTCTTGACTGTGGTCTTCTTCTTCTTCAACCTCTTGCCATTCTGCAGCAGGTGGATCTTCACGTAGGGATCTGGGGGTCAGAAGTTCATCAGCCAGGGCTGAGATGCCCAGAGGGCACCATCAGCCAAGAGGCATCTCAGCCCAGGATGAGGTAGAGATGTCCATGAGCTCTGGGGTTTGTGGATGGGGACCAAAGTCAAAATAGTTGGTCTGGAGAGGATTTCTGGGAGCAACTGGCCAAGGGGTGGAGCATTTCTGCATGCAACAGAGCTGGGGGAGGGTCTGGAGAGTCAGTCATATGAGGAATGGCTGAGGGAGCTGGGGAGGTTCAGCCTGGAGAAAAGGAGGCTCGGGGGGACACTCTCTCTCTACAATGCTCCTGACAGGAGGGTGGATCCTGGGGAGGGTCAGGTTCTGCTCCCAGGTAACTAGCCAGGGAGAAATGGCCTCTAACTGCAACAGGGGAGGTTCAGGTTGGATGTCAGGAAGAATTTCTTCACTGAAAAGGTTGTCAAGCGTTGGAATGGACTGCCCAGAGAGGTGGTGGAGTCACTGTCCAAGGAGGTGTTCAAGGAATGACTGGACGTGGCACTCGGTGCTCTGGGCTGGTTGAAAAGGTGGGGATCGGTCACAGGTGGGACCCGATGATTTTGGAGGTCTTTTCCAACATTAATTCTGTGATTCTCTGCTGAGGACCCTCTTGCAGGAGGACTGGGGACAGTGGAGTGACAGCTGGCCTGTCAGGTGGCATCTGTCACCCAGGTTTTTGGAGTAGGACACCCCCATAATAAAGCTGAACCCTTCCAGTCATGCAGGGCCTGCTCTTCTCATGGTTAAGGCAGGTCTGGAAAGAGCTGAGGACCCCACAGAGCTCAGCCCCATGATGGGGTTGGGAAGACTTTTTGAGCAAAAGCATTCTGTCAACTGAGATCCCTGGACCAAGTCAAGGAGGAGTAGGACCAGGAGAAAATGGCAGAGGAGAATTTTCACCACCCGGGTCCTGCAGCATCCTGGTCCTGGACAGAGTGTGGGACCAAATTGAAAATGTCCTTCCTTAAGGATAGAAGACTCATCCCAAACCCATCTCCCTTTGCCCTCCAGCCAGACCTTGGGCTGCCTCCAGCGCAGGAGGAGGCACTGGGGGGGCTTCCCTGAGCCCAGCCAGAGGGATGGCCCCATTGTCCTTCCTGACAAAGGGTGCTGAGAGCCCCCAGTGGGGCAGGAGGAGGCTGCCCCTGAGTGACACCCACCTGAGAGACCCCCAACATCCATCTTCTTCAGGTTCTTGGCCTCCAGGATGCAGACAGTGAGTTTCCCGGCCGTGGGCACGTACCGGAGAGAGATGCAGATGTCTCCCAGCTTCTCTGGCTGCCAAGGAAAGCAGGGAGTGGATATCAAAGCATTGCCAGTGCATCAGACTGCACTGTTTGGACATGGTCCCATGGGCAGGGCCCCCCAAACCCTGCTCAGCCTTCGATGCAGGCACAAGCTGGCATCCCATGCACCAGCAGAGGGGTTTGATCACTGGGCCTGGGGCAGGCCAGGCCCAACACAGCACTCAGGATGTTTTATACTCTTCATTTTCTGTGGCAAAAAGGTTTTTACACAGAGGAACAAGAGGGCAGATCCTGCCCAGAACTCACAGCCAGGACAGGCACGAGCCCCACACCAGTGTGACCCCACAGTGATCGTCACCCTGAACACTGTGGGGTGCTCCCCAAAGCAGAGCTCACCCCGTGGCCACCCCCATCTAAATCCCCCAACCAGGCTAGCTGAGGGCTGGCTCTCACCTCCTCCTTCTCGCCGCTCTGCAGGTCCCGCCACTCCTCGATGGGCTGGCCCAGGTCCACCGTGTTCATGGGCACCTTCACCTCCCCGATGATGTCGTGCTTGGAGAAGCGGTCGAAGTCGTAGATGGCCATCACCAGCGTCTTCCCACCCAGTTCTTGGTAGGGCACCTGCACAAACAGGGTCAGCAACCAGGCTGGTTGGGGTCTGGACCCCGAGCCAGGCCCCCTGCTCCCAGCAGTGAGGGTCAATGTATGGGACTGGTGCAGTCAGTGAGGAGGATGGGAGAGGGAGACAAGGTCCTGTGTTCTCACCTTGAAGGTGAAGGTCTCGTTGAAGGCAGGGTTGAGGGTCTTCTTCTGCACTTTGGTCTCGTACTTTTTCTTCTTGTCGGGCAGCAGGAACACCTTGACATAGGGGTCTGAGGTGCCCCCCATGTCCAAAGCTGGCAGTTCAGCAGCTTGGAGGATCCCCACCGTCAGCTGGAGGGGGCAGAGGGGTGTCCTCAGTGAGACAGCCCAGCCACACTCTGTAGATGCCGAGGGCCCATCTTGGACTCCTTGTGGCACAGCACCCAGCTCCTCCTTCCCTCCCATGCCACCCAGCTCCAACACGGAGGCTTGTCCCCTCAAAAACCCCCCTGGGCAAACCCCACTCATCAGCTGAGCCCCAGCCCCTCCATCACCTGATTGGCCTGGAAATCGTAGTCCAGTGAGAACTGCAGCTTGCCCAGGTTCTCTGGCTCCTTCTCCTCCTCCTCGCCTTCCCCCTCTGTCAGACCCGTCTCTGCATCATCATCATCCTGTTGGTCCTGCAGTGGCAGCCGTGGTGCCCAGCTCAGCAGCACGGTCACAGCCCAGCAACCCTGTCCCCACACCACTGGGGACCTCAGCACCCCAGCCCTGCTGACACCTCAGCACCCCAACCCTACTGACATCTCAGCACCCCAACCCTGCTGACATCTCAGCACCCCAACCCTGCTGACATCTCAGCACCCCAACCCTGCTGACACCTCAGCACCCCAACCCTGCTGACATCTCAGCACCCAGGTTCTCCCCATGAGGGGAAAGGAGACCCCTATGGGGCATGAGGGGCTTCCTCCGGGTACCAGGACAAGGGGTTGGCTCCAGTGGAGTGAGGTTTGGTGCTTGCAAGCAGTGGGTCCTGCACTTGGGGAAGCATCAGAGATGGTGCTTTGTGGGCTTAGAAATAGAGATACACCCTAATTGTCCCCAGGAAAAGACACCCCTCTTCCTGCCTCCCCAAGCTGTGGGAGTGGGAGATGGGGTGGGACCCCTGGCTCCTTATCTGCTCTCTGACATGTCTCCAGGTCCCCCAAGCCACCCTGGAAGCAGATGATGGAGAAGGAGGCTCACTTACCATGGAGGGTGTCCCAGGATGGGGAGGGACCAGGCAGCCAGGGCAGCAGGGTGGGAGGAGATGAGGGCACCACAAGGGAAGAAAGACACGTTACACAGAGCACTGAGGGACCATGGGGGGGTGGGTCAGGGTTTGTGTGACCCTGTGAAGTCCCAGGGGATACAGCCCTTGATCTTTTCTGGGGAATCCCACCCCACATCTCCCACCACTCCTGCTCCAGCCCTGACTGCATGTTCATGATGCCCACACAGCTCTGAAGAGCAGGAACGGGCACCCAAAATCTCCCACCCCCTCCAAATGGCCCTGGGTCAAGGCCATGGAAAGGGCTGGGGTGCCCCAAGCCTGCAGGTACCAAAGTCCCCCTCAGGCTGGCCCCAAGGATGGGGAGACAGCCCCAGGTCTGCTCCAGGTACCAGCACCTGCCTCTCGACCCCACACTGGATGTATTTTGCCCTGGTGGCCCTCCCCTCTTGGCTAAAGGCTCAGTGAAATGAGGGTAACCCAGAGGGAGGCAGGAAGATGAAAGGGATTAATTTAACATTTTCTGATTCAGGTGGAGCATTGGCAGGTCCAGGACAGTTTGAGCCTGGTCCCATCTGGGCCAGCGGGCACTGGAAGAGGACAGTGCTGCTGTCTCAGGTCCTGGCTCCTGTCTGCACTGTCCCGTCCCAGTGGCTGGTGGCTCCATGTCCTGGCTTCAGATATCCTGGTGGCTCCATCCCAATCTGCTGCCTGACCCATGAGTGCCCCAGCACAGTTCATAGCTCATCCAGAGGGACCGTTGGCCAAGCTGTTGTCCAAGAAGGACATCACCTGATTGCCTGACTTCATGTCCTTCATGTTCATGGCATTCTTCATGCCTTTGCCCTTCTCTTTCTTGTTCTTCTTCTTCTTACAGCAGCACTTCTTGCAGATGCAGAAGCAGCAGGTGAGGATGAGGAGTCCGGCGACCACCGCGATGGCGATGAGGGCCCAGGGAGGAACTGCAGGCAAAAGCCAGCGTTGTGGTCAGCCCTGCAGCTGCCTCCCAGCCACCCCAAAAACCACGTCCCACGTGTTGCCCTGGGACCAGGGCGGTGGTGGGGCCACCAGGAGGGTAGCACCTGGGAGAGGAGCAGCTACTCACGGGGGATCTTGTTGAGCTCGTTCATGAACTTGTCCCTCAGCTTGGTGAACATGTCCTCCTTGCTCTCGCCCGGCCCCGCGGCCTCGGTGGAGTTCTCCATCGTGCTCATGGGCATCGTGGTGGCCGCGGCCTCCGGGGCCATCATGGACGCCTGTTTGAACGTCATGGTGGGCCAGGGGCTCCCTGAAACACAACGTCAGCTCGGTGGTCACGTCACAGCTCCTGCTGCAGTCACGGTGCTGCGATGATCACGATGCCGCTCACGTCCCACTGCTGTCCCCGGGGACGGGCACAGCCAGGCCCGCTCGGGCTGCAGCCCACGCGTGTGCACGCGTGTGTGCGTGGGGAGGGACGTGAGCAGGGCTGTGTGAGCGTGTCTGTGCCCCTCTGCGAGCCTGCAGGCACGGGGGTGCAAGGACCAGTGCATGGGTACAGCACTGTGTGTGTGTGTGTGTCTGTGCACGTGTGTAAATGGATGTGCAAGCACATCCAGGCACGTGTGCACGGGATGTGCAAACGCACGTGAGGGAATGCATGTGTGCAAGTGTGTGTGCACAGGGGAGGAGTGCTTGTGCCTGTGTGTGTGTGTAAACATGCACAAGGGATGCAGCACATCCACCCAGGGTGCAAGCACTTTGTGTGCATGCGCATCACCTGCCTGGCTGGCTCTGCCAGCTCCTGCACGGGGGGCTGTGTGTCCTCTCGTGTGCATGGCACTGCCCACAGCCTGTGCAAGGCCTCCACACACACACACACCCCCTCTGTGTGCCTCTGTGCGTGTGGGAATCGTGGGTGGGACAGGGGGCTCTGGGGGCAGAGGTGCAGCACAGGCCCTTGACCAGGGTAGTGCTGCTCTGGGGGCTCGGGGGGCTTTGCGGTGCTGGCCAGGGCTGGGGAGGCTGCAGGCAGCATCAGGCCTCACCACAGGGGCTGGTTTTGAGCAGGGCAGCTAATTAGCATCACTAATTGCTCCTTTGTGGTGCACACCGGGTGCTGGCAGAGCTGAGGACTGGGGGAAACTGAGGCACGGGAGAGGCCTGGGGGAGCGAGTCCATGTTGCTGCCCCCCCACCAACTGAGTACCCTACAGCCCCCTGGGACCCTACAGCCCTTGCCATGGGGCCAGGGGGCTGATCCTGTCCCTCCAAGTGAGGGGGCCAAGCTTTGATTCCCCTCCTGCATGGGGGCCAGGCTGGGCAGTGTGGGGCAGTGGGGCAGTGCCAAGGGGGCATCGTTGGGTGGGAGGGCAGGCAGTGGGGCAGAGGGGACAGGCAGTGGGGCAGAAGGGACAGGCAGTGTCCTTGGGAACATCCTCTCAACTCCAGCTCCCAGACCCCGTTGTGCCACGGCCTCACTGGGCGTCCTTGGTCGCAACCCCCATCCCCAGCAGGCACAAGCAGGGCAGCCCAAGCCCTCGGCTGCGGGTGCAGAGATGCTCCCAGCCCCACGGCACAGATTCCCGGGCAGGGGGTCCGCCGCAGCCCCCATCCCTGTCGCAGCCCCCTGTCCCTGCCGGGCCCCCCTCTCTGCGGGAGGGCCGTGCGGCGGCTGGGCTGCGGCACTGCATTGCAGTCCTGTTCCGGCTCCGCTGCCTTTTTTTTTTTTTTTCTTATTCCTTTTGCAATTTTTCTTTTTTTTTTTTTTTCCCCTCCCCTCTGCAAGTTGCGGCAGCAGCTGGCGAGGGGCCGAGCGGCCGGCGGTGGGGGTGGGAAGGGAGCTCGGCCCCCCGAAATCCCCGCTGTGCCCTCAAACCCCTCTCGGCCGCCCCCGCCGGGGATGCTCGCTGCGGTTCCTCCCGTGCTTCAAGTTTCCTTTTTATTCTTCCCCGGTTTGGAGCTGCCCCTCGTCGCCCCCCCCACTGCTCCATGCCTCTCCCCTGGCCAAGATCTCAGGGTCTCAAGCACATAAATAAATTATGAGGGTTATAATTAACCATTTCTATCAGCCCTTGGCCCTGGAACGAGCGTGGGTTAAGGCTTCAAGAAAAATTACTGGCTGGGAAGGATGCCCCTCCTGCCTTGCTGACCCCTGTGGACCCCCAGCTCCTCCCTGGGGTGCAGCATTCGTGGGGGATTCTGATGAGAATGGTAGGACCCACCCCACACCCCTCCCCAAAACCACTGGGAGCTCCTCGTGGAGCAGGACAGGGTGGGCTTCACTCAGGCAGCTGCTGAGGAGACCCCCCAGGGCAGAGGGGGCAGAGCTCCTCATGGCACATCACCCATGCACCCACATTACACTCCACCCTGCAGCCCCCCAGGTACCTCCCCTGTTCCCCCAGAGCTTTATCCTGCTCCTCTTTGCTCTGGGCCCCTGCACCCCACAGTGCATTACACTGAACCTGCCAAACCCATCCCCTCGACAGTGTGTTTCCCCCTAACGCACACCCCTGCGTCCCCCAGTGCCTCATCCTGCACCCCTCAGTGCAGCACTCCCCAAATCCCATGGGACACTACCCTGTGCCCCATCCTGCAGCTTCCCAGACCCCCTAAAGCAACACCTCCTCCTGACACTGCACCACCCACAGATCCCCAACGCCCCCTGCACCCCATGGTGTGTTCCTCTGTACCCCCTCAGGCAGTGCCCCGAGCTGCAAACATCTGGCCTTGAAGGAGCCCCCAGGTCCCAACTCTAGCGGAGCCCCCAGGGACTTTATCCAGCCAAACCCCCTCCAGGCTCAGCCCCCAAACTCCCCCCAGCTTTGTTATACTGAACCCCGAGAAAATGCACTGAGCCCCAGACCAGCCCCGTGGGGTCTTTGGCCCTTTCTTGGTGTAAACTCCCCTGGCTACACCGCTGATTTACACCCGGAGCAGGGGGGGAACGGAGGTTGGGGGGTGGGCGGGTCCCCCTCCCATTTACACATTCCTTTTACACATTCCATTTGCCGCATTGTTGGCCGGCAGCACCCCAAGGTCTGGCGGGATGGAAACCCCAGGCTGGAGCCGGCGATCCCATCCCCCTCCATCCCCTGGGCATTCCCCGTATCCAGGAAAGCTGTTCAGACGCCGGAAAATCCCCTTCCCGAGCCCTTCATCCCTCCTCCTCCTCCCACAAAGGCTCCATCTCAGAGACCCCCCCAGCCTGTGCTGCCGCAGCACCCGCAGCATCCCAAAAGCCAAACAAGGGGGATTTGGGCTTTCCCCAGTACGGGTCCCATCATGGGTACCCCCTGCCCCGGCATCAGCTCCCTATCGGGGTGGGATGGGAATGGATGGAGAGGGGGTGGATTCACCGGTTGGGGGGTGGGGGTGGGCTTTGCAGACCACGCAGGGAGAAGCGAGATGTGCAGGGGAATCGACAGGGAGTCGCCCTCATCAGCGAAGGACCAGACTCAGGATGAGGATTCGGAGATGTACAGAAGGATCGGGATGTCCTCGGACACGGCAGCACCCAGCGAGCTCAGCGCCGGGGTCGGGGATTTTGGGGAATCCAACTGCTGGAAACGCCCCCAGCTCCTCCGTGGGGGCAGCCGGAACCTCTCCGCTCCGGGAAGGCGATGGGGATGACGGAGGGCAGAAACAGCAACAAATGAAGATTAATGAGGCTGAGGCAGCAATTAGCAGCAGCCAGCGCTGACAGAGCATGGGCTGGGCTCGGGCAGGCGGGTACGGGGGGGTCCAACCCCCGGCTCCCCCCGCCCAGAGGGTTGAATTGTCCCAGGGAGACCCCGGTCTGGGGGAAGCTCGTTGGATAATGAAGGGCGGCTGCCACCGTGGGCCCGGAGCGATGAGTTATCGCTCATTACGGGATGGCAAAGCCGGGGCTGAGCTGTCCTGCTGAGATGGAGACGGGGCGGGGGGATGGACACCCTCCAGACCTCTATGAACGTCAGCTGAGGGAGCTGATCCCAAAACCTGCACTGCCCTGTGCCAGGGTTGGATATCAGGAATGAAAATCCCAAACTGGTCCCAAGGTGAGCCCCCTCCCACCCCAATGCCGGTGGGAAGCCTGGGAACTACGGAGCCGGATCCTGCAGTGCAGCCCCGGGGCGAGCGGAGATTTCGAGGTACAGCTGAGATATTTGGCAGTGCCCCAGCGGGTGTTTTGGAGCTGGGGTCAGCAGGACAAGGGCTGGAGGAGGAGATCCCATCTCTGCTGGATCCACTGGCATGATGCCAGGGCATCCCTCTGGCCTTTCACGGGGGCACTGACCCCCCCAGCGCTGCCATCGTATCCGATGTCGGTCACGGAGGGGACATGCTGGGCCAGAGTTTCAGCTCACAGCAGTGAGACAGGAGACTCTAATTAAGGCAAAAACATGATTTGGCTTCTAATGGTCATTTAATTAACAGAGAATTCCAGGCAAGGGATGTGTGGAGGCATGGGGAGACCGAGGGATCAGGGAGGAGGGAGAGTAGGGGGCACTAGGTAGGGAGACACTGCAGGACCTTGGTGCAAAGGGGCTCTGCAACAACCCAGCCCAGTAAATCCCCAAATCTCATCCTTGTTCCCCTTCTCCAGCCCCAGCATGACCCCACAGCAGCTGCATCGGCGGTGTTGGATCAGACTCTCCATCCACAGCTCCCCAGGATGCTGTGGCGGCCCCCAGAGCTTGGGGAGCACTCTGCCCTGGGATCCCCCCACAACCCCATCCTGATTCACTCTGCTGAGGGTGAGAGGAGTCTCTGCTCCCCCATCTCCATACTTCTCATGGGAGAGTAAGCCTAGTGGGCTGGGCAGGGGAGCTGCTGCAGCACAGGCGAGGGGTGTGTGGAGCGAGGATGCGCCGGTAGCACGTGGCATCACGGGACCTGAGCTGCTGAGACGTGGCCCACACAGGGACACGTTCCCCTGTCCCCAAACCCAACTACCAGCAGGTGCTGCTGGCCAGACCCTCCTGCCCACCAGGGAAACTGAGGCACAGATCCCTCTGCCCACTGAGGGAAACTGAGGCACAGCATGGGGAGCAGCACCCCGAGGGAGGAACTCCTGAGCAGGGCTGAAATTCAGCATTCCCCCAGCTCAGAGTTGTGATGGGACTCTGCTACTTCCCGGGTCAGTGACAGCCACCAGGCCTTGCTGGGACCCCCAGCACTGCTCCCCATCCTGCATGCTCCAGCAGCATCTCCAGATGGGACCACATCCTTCCTCCCTGCCGTGGCAGGCTCTGCTCATGGCCCCATCACCCACCAGCACCTGTCTCAGCCAAGTAAAAATAACGATGTGCTGGGGCATGGCAGC